ATCTTCCAGTGGCAACAAACTTGAATTGCCTTAAGTAAGATCTATGTGTAGTTTTCCTTATGAACTCGACCTCTATATTTTGGTCTTTGAAAAGGTTGATTATAACTAGTTGTTAAATTTGATTCTCGTTATCTGTGAAAGGCTTTCTTAGAAAAGATAATATACATCTGCTGTGTTAAATAACCTCTAATATAGTAGATGCATGTCCTCTGACGAGCTACTTCCAGAAGATATAACTTGGTACAGCAAGATCTCCATAACAAGCATTCCTGTAGCCTCCCCTAAGAGTCCTTCATCTGATGTCTGCAAGACTGGTAATTGCTACTCAGACCCAAAATCTGTCTTCCAACTGGAACCAGCTGGATGCTTTCAGTACCATTTTCCTCTTAGTTTTAAACGCAAAATGAGATTGCAAGATACTTCTTCTGTTCTTTTTTATATGTAAAGGGGGAAAAACTTAACCTGCAAATAGACATGATCAGTCCGGTGTAGCTATTCTTCTCTTTCTACGTGTCATCCAACACAACCTAAAGTGATCTGCAAGTAGGGGCAAAATGCCTACTCTGAATGCATCACAACCTTAAAAGCAAGGAAGAGATAAGATAATGTGAACACGAGTGAATAAGACATGTTCAGCATGGATCTGATTAGTTCCTTATTTCTCTATCCCTCTCAAGATTCGGCCTACAGATGGTAGAACTGTTGAGTTGGAACACTGAGCTGTTGGATTAACACCTCTGTTCCAATCCATATGCAGCAGGATGGGTCCCACTATTGCTGGTGAATCACTGATATGCCAAGTCCAGGCCTCTCCCTTCCTGTTCGCAGCTTATGACACACAAAGGTTTTAGGGGGCAGTCAAGCACCTCCGAGGCTCTTCCAGACTTGCTTCTTCTGCTCAGAAACCAAATTCAGTCAGGGCTTTCAGAGTGACGTGGCAAATGACCTCAGGGACCAGGTCCTTACTATAGTCCTGTCATGGTTTAGGCCCAGCTGGCAACCAAGCACCACACATCTGCTTGCTCAGTCCTCCCTGCAGTGAGATGGGGAGAAGAAAATGCAAGGAAAAGTTTGTGGCCTGAGGCAAGGACAGGGAGGGATCACTCACCAGTTACGGTCATGGGCAAAACAGACTTGACTTGGGAAGAGAAATCAATTTATTTTGTTACCAAAACAAGGTTTTGTTCCCCTCTTAAATCTGTTAATTCCTAGAGGTGATGACTGGCTCGGCCATGGCCAGAGGCAGGTCTGATTTGGAGCTGGGGATAGCTTCTAGCAGCTTCTCACAGGAGCCACCCCATGGTCCCTCCCCTGCTACCAAAACTCCACCACACAAACCCTACACAAGTCTTAACAGGTGTGTAATGAATACCTGTTTAAAAAATATGTTCAGAGTCATATGTACAAGGAGTAGCTCCATAATGGGAGATTTCTCAGGTAAAAGATTTGGGGGTTTAATCACTTCCCATTGAAGCATCAAGGGAATGGATCATCTTCTTAGGTCCCACATAAATCTATCTCCAGGTCGTCCTCAGCAAAAGCAATATGAAGTGAATTGTCAGTGCTCTTTCAAAACTGCAAATCTTTAATCAATGGACAATACAAGGAGGCACTTAAAATGCCAACCTCAGCAAGTGGCGGACTCCAGTTCTTGTGAAAATTAATTGTAACTCATCAGAATAAAATTGTTTGGTTTTTTTTTTTATTAATGTGTTTGGTAGTACTCAAAAACTTAAAATTAGATAAAAGGCATTGAACTAGGTTGGAAGATTATCTTACTCCTTAAAACCACGTGTGAGGTCCAAAAACTGGGCAGGGACAGTTTCCTTTTTTCTGCCTAGAACTGCAGTCATTTTAGGGGAAGGTGGAACAGCTAATTTAGTCTGGTAATCCATCCATCCTCTTACTGTGAAGGTATAATTTCCAGTTAGTGAAACCAGACCCCATTTTTTGGCTCTTGAGTGAATATGTAGGCTTTTATTTGGATTTGGATTTTGCCTGTTACTATGGCAGTTTATTAAGCAAAAGCTCGTGTGCAGTATCAAGTGGATTTAAAACATAGAAAAAGCGGTTAAGAAATGTTTCTGGGTATCTTAACTATTGCTGAATGCGAACTTACCATGATGTTTATGTGAGTTTACTTTTAATTAGCAAGAACCTAGAGTGAATAGAAAATAGTGTATACATGCATATTTTTTAGCTTTTTTCTAGACAGGGCTGTTATGTTTGCTTCTTTGGGTTTTGGGGGTTTTTTTTTTCTTTCTTTTTTTTTCTGCTGTTCAAGTTTATGACTAGTTCTTGAAGCCCAAAGTAGGTTTGTTGCCAACAAAGCACTCTTTTCTCCTTCATTTCCAAAACAGGACTTCTGCACAAAGAAGCAATACATTGTCTTGTGTAAGAAGTAAATCAGACCTTGAAGGGGGAAAGATTTGCATCTTGCTTCTCTACTTCTGTATCATGCACATTATTTATACTTCTCTAGATAAAAATAAGGCAACCACATTGTTCTTTTCACTAAGACCAACAAAATACTAGGTATTTCAGGAAAAGTAGATGTGCCAATAAAGCTTACCAAGAAGAGATCATAGAGAAGTAAGTATAAATACCTTAATGAAGGCCTTTATTCTTTAAATACAGTATTACTTTTCATAAAGCCATCCAGTATAGAATTCAAACAAAGACCTTTTTCCTTTAAAGCAGCAATTCTTAAATGGAAAAAAAGAACAGTATTCTTTCTTCCTTTCTTGTGGGGTCTGTAGCTAAAGTCTCTCAGTTTTGGCCTGTTTACCACAAACAGATTATTTTAAGGTTTGAGGGTTTTTTATTGGTGTGCTAAGCAAAATTTTTACATTAAACTGCACAGCTGTCTTTGCATACAGTTCCATATAAAATAATTAAAACATGAAATTGTATAACTGAAAACAGTCTCCCGATAGAGGTAATTAATTTTAAAGTGAAACACAGAAGTGTAGGTTGATTACTGTTAATTAAACCTCTTCTTCAAAACACAGAATGCTACAGAAAGCCTTGAACAAATAGTGTCCCTGATTCTATGTTGGTAAGGTATTTAGCACTATCCTCGCACCACCACTCATAGAATCACAGAATAGTTCGGTTGGAAGGGACCTTAAAGACCATCTAGTTCCAACCCCCCTGCCGTAGGCAGGGACACCTTCCACTAGACCAGGTTGCTCAAAGCCTCATCCAGCCTGGCCTTGAACACTTCCAGGGATGGGACATCCACAGCTTCTCTGGGCAACCTGTTCCAGTGCCTCATCCCCCTCTCTGTGAAGAACTTCTTCCTGATATCTTATCTAAACCTCCCCACTTTCAATATAAACCCATTACCCCTTGTCCTGTCACTACAGGCCCTTGTAAAAAGTCCCCCCCAGCTTCCTTGTAGCCCCTTCAGGTACTGGAAGGCTGCAATAAGGTCTCCCCGGAGCCTTCTCTTCTCCAGGCTGAACAAGCCCAACTCTCTCAGCCTGTCCCCATAGCAGACGTGCTCCAGCCCTCTGAGCATCTTCATGGCCTCCTCTGGGCTCGCTCCAACCAGTCTATATCCTTCTGATGTTGGGGGCCCCAGAGCTGGACGTGGTACTCCAGGTGGGGTCTCAGGAGAGCAGAGTAGAGGGGCAGAATCCCCTCCCTCGACCTGCTGGCCACACTTCTCTGGATACAGCCCAGGATACGCTTGGCTTTCTGGGCTGCCAGCGCATTGCTGGCTCATGCTGAGTTTCTCATCAACCAACAGTCACGCTGTTTTTTCCTAGTGTAATATTCATATGGTAACTTTGTGTCTGTGATGATGATAATCATTCTCTGCATTAGTTCAGGACTTGATAACCATAAAGGCGAAACTCAGTTTTGCCACTCACAGTTAGGTGTGGGGCCAGGCTTCTGTGCCTACAAGAAGGAAAGTAAGGAATAGTGTTGGACTGTAGAGAAGAGAATGTGTGTTGGCAAGGGGAGATGGGGGAACAGGCAAGTTTGCTCTTACAGCTACTGCTGGGAGGACACTGATCTAAAGTAAAGACCCCTGCTTATTCAGAGCAATGTATTACCCTCTGGCTTCCCCAACACTAGTAGCTGCCCAGTGCCAGTGAGCTGTTATCACAGCACAAAAATCAAATGTGCTTTTCCTGAGCTTTGATAACAAATACACACAAGGGAAAAAAAGCCAATTTATTACCTGCTTTCTGTGACCCTTGCAGATGTGCTCAGAAAGCTTTGGCTCTTGATTGCTCTTCCTTTTTTTTGGAACGTTATGCATTTTAACAAAAGGGTGTTGGGTTTTTTTTTTCTTTTAATTCTGGTAAATCTCCATGTGAGGTGCACCATTAAGCCTGTTGTTTATGTGCAGAAATGGTAGTATTCTGTGATTTTGAATAGTAAAATATTTATGAAATAAAAAATGGCTTGCTGGGGGCTGGTATAATACCAAACTACTGTATTGGGTTGTGAAGGAAGTATTTTTGCTTGTAGTAACAACTACCCTAGAGAGTTACTTTCATTACATTGAAGAGTAAAGAAAGAGTTGAGGATTTGTTCTCTCGTTGTGTATCTATCAACAGGGATAGCCTTAGCATAAATCAGAACCTATTCGTCGCTATTGGTTTTTAGCAATTTTATTTCGAAGGAAAAAATCTGAAGTCAAAGCCCTAAAAAAAAATATTGAATATTCCTTCATTCCATGTGTGGTTCACAGCCTAAATAGGTCTAGATCATAACCAGCTGCTCAGATTTTAGGCTTAGCTCTGAGAAAATGCCAATGTTTCTGTGACTACATGTTGTGTATTCAGAGCTCTGTTCTCGCTGCAAAAGTGTGCAGATGTCATTCAGCCCCATTTACCATGTAGTATTCTTTTCTTGACAGAAACAGCTATATTAAGCACACCAATGGTGTGAAATGTTTGGGGTTTTTTTGTTTTGTTTTGTTTTTTTAAATATTCAATCTCTTTTACAGAATGGTAATTATGAGTCATTTGCTTTTTTTGTAGGAGTTCTCTGGAACCTGTCCTCCTGTGATGCACTGAAAATGCCAATCATCCAGGATGCCCTCGCAGTGTTGACCAATGCGGTGATCATCCCTCACTCTGGATGGGAAAACTCCCCGCTCCAGGATGATCATAAAATACAGCTCCATTCATCACAGGTGCTGCGCAATGCCACTGGGTGCCTACGGTGAGTACTGCAAAACATTTGCTTTGCCTTAATCATCTTGCTTTGGCTTGAGTTGTTATGTCTCTTTCTTAGGCATCTGTAAAGTAAATAATTAGTTTGCATGCCAGCGAAGATGATGACTTTCAGTGCTATAAACTTAAAGTTGGAAATCAATTAGAAAACAAGCTTCAGGCCATTCAGAGAAACAATCTGTAGATGCGCTGCTGCGGGTTTTATTTTTTCTTCTTAACAGCTTTGACCAATCTTCTCATCCAAGCATGTATATTACAGATGTTTTTCTCATTGTCGATTTGTCCCATTTCCCCAGTTGCTTAAGTGAAGTCAATATGTTCTTGCTATTACACCCAGTTTAATCAGCACAAAAAATAATGAAAATGCTCTCAAAAAGTAACATGCCTTACGGGTTCCACATGCCATTGCTGGAGTTATGATAAATAGATAAAGTAGATTTTTTCTGCTCTGTGAAGATGAGAAATGGATTTCAGTAAGAGTCCAAACAATTTAACATGGTGCGACTAGAATACTTAAATAGATCCTTAACAAGTATGGTAAGTGTTTATATTGGTATGCCAAAGTGGTATATGCAACACCAAGATGCACTTCTATAAATATGTGCAACATGATCTGTCCATTCCTAAAAATCACTGTAGTTGTGAGGCTGAAATTAGGATGAGTTTCAGTTCTGACAAATCCTTACAAAAGGATTGAGTCATAGCAATTGTTTAATTCCAATCCATATCATTTTATTGAAATATTTTAACATATTAGGCAAGTTCTTCTAAGTGTTTTTTTTTTTCTCCTTGTATATTGAGATTCTGTGATCTATCTCATAAACGTGAAAATCGATTAGTTACTATTTTTGCACACATCTCAGGAAAATTGTTAGGTGAATAGTATGTATCAGTATTACGATCTATGTAGTATGCTGCATCCAAAGCAGATATCCATCAAAGAGCTAAATAAAAAGCCATTCCTACAGAGGCAAAGTAAAGTAGCAGCATTTTTAACGTATCTATAGCAAGCACCTTTCTGTCTCTGCTGTTGCATCAAATGAAATGTCTCCCTTTCAGAAGTAATACCTGAAAAGTTTAGGGGGAAAAGTAATAATTATTTCTGATGGTTTATATGTTATCAGACAGAATGAAATACAGAAGGTAGTAACTTCCATATTGCAAGTATACTTGTACTGGACCTAAATGTAGAGGTGGATATTTGAATACCTGCTATGTTGGTACATGTGACTGAAGCTAGGTATTTGTACCTGAGTTGTATGGATTTTGAAAAGAGTTGGGTAGTATCATTGTGCTGCATTATGTTCCAATTACTAGGAAAAAAGGTTTCTCAATCACTGTGACAGAAGTCATTCCCTAAAGACATGTACTGTGTTATACTTCCCACACTTCCAGTGTTTAACCTGTCTCAGTTAAAGAGCTGCCTCTGAAAGGAGTGTCCATTATAAATCTGGGCTTCACAGTGCCCCTTCTCTCAATGGACATGTCCAGTGTTGGTCTCCCCACACTGTAAGCCCTATCTTCCCCTTAATTTTTCCCAACTGCTTCTCAGGGACTGGTGTCCATCCCTGATCCTGCAAACCTCAGCTCATCCACCTCCATAGCTGATGGATTCATTGCACATTGGTCTTGAAATCTCTCCTCTTCGTTTGTTTTTCTTTTTTCCATGAGCGTACGTGCACACCCATTTGCAAACTGATGTGAGCTTATCGTAACCTGCACTGTGGGTCAGCCTGAGGGCTTGTGGCCCCGTGGGAATGATATGATGCCTGATACAATGCACACTGCTTTGCAGCAAGGCTTACTACTAGGTGTTTGATGGTACACTGTCACAGCAGAATGGCTTCTGGGCAGCTCGTCCAGGCTGGACGAGGCTTTGAGCAACCTGGTCTAGTGGAAGATGTCCCTGCCCATGGCAGGGGGGTTGGAACTAGGTGGTCTTTAAGGTCCCTTCCAACCCAAACCTTTCTACAATACGATTCTAAAATAAGCCCATATCTGCCTGCAAAAGACTGTGCATATTATATCTCTTCAGTCCTTCCTAGGTAGCTGTAACAACAGCTCCAACAGCTGACCTGAGGAGGTTGGTCTTTCTTCTAAACCCAGGCCCTTCAACCATAGTATGGCTTTTTAATATCTTTCTCATATCAACCCCTCCCTATTTCTCAGATGCATCTTTTTTTGTCCTCTCTAAGGCTTCAGATATTTCTTTGGCCTTCATCCACCTTTAGATAATTTCATCCCTATTAGTCTGTGTGGATGCTCTTTGGCTGAGCCAGAATATTTGGAGGGGGTTGAACTTACTTTTGCTTCACACCAGAGTGGCAACTTTCTTGTTTACCTTTCCCCAGTCACTGTTGAAAATCTCTTTCTCAGGAGAAAATGTCAAGCTTGTGTTTGGGCAAGGGAGAAAAGTGTAAGTTGACCTCTGAGATGGTAACTCTGTTCTTGCTTTGAATTCGTGTAAGATAACGGGGCTGTAGGCTGGAGGAAACAGTGAATGTCAGAAAGAAAAGGCTAGAAAGCCCCATGGAGATGATTGCAGTAGCCCATGCCCTGTGCAGGTCGTACCTTCGCTAGCATTCCGTAAACGCCCACCACCCCCAGTAAGCTGAACAGCTCTCGCACTTTCCACTTGTGACTAGTTACAGACCTCGTACTTCCATTTCAAGATCTCACTGGATAAAGGAAGCAATGTAAGTCAACAGGATGTAATGTGGTTGCTGACTGAGATAGTGCTGTGTTTAGCTAGTAAAGGGAAGGTCCAATGTAATCTTCCATGGGAAAATTTCTTCTAAGACTCTGGTTTGGTTGGCCCCTGCTGTTTTCTTTTTCTCCTTTTGCTAGAGCTGGTTTTTGAAGGGACGCTGGTTAAAATTCGTTTGGATCAGGATGGTCAGTGACAATGCTCGGTATCATAGGGAAAGTAGTGGTGTTCAGAATACTTGACCAACGTTTCTGAATCCGTAACATTAGCAGATGTTAGAGACAGCAGGTTGTATTACGTAAGGTTCAGTGCTAGCAAATACTCCAGAGGATTTGGGGACTTTTCTTCAATCATCTGTGCCTTTGGTTTTCTGATGCATTCACTACTGAAAACTTCAAGTAATCTCTGTGAGGTGCTGTAGTATAATCCACCCCATATACAATGCTAATAAATAGTTTGCAATGGCCATTATATTGAAATAATCACATCTCTGTTTTGTGTTTTTTTCACTGCAGTGTATGAATTATTATTCTTTCTGCTGATCTTCCCTTTTCTTAGTTTCTTGATGAGTTTCTTATGCTCCTTCATTCAAAATGTTGCTTATTAACTACGTTTTTTATTACTCCTCTCTGCTTATTCATTATCATTCTTAACCAAGTTCTTAAACCTGCAACTCCAATCACACAGTAATCCAGCTGAAATCAGTATGAAATCATATGAAAGCCAGCAGCAGCATCAGTCCTTTTTTCTTTTATTTCCTTTTTCCCTTAAAGACATTATTTATAAACCACATTTCACATACTTTTGTGATTTGAAAAGAGAAAATAGCTTTAATACAATATTGTACTAATTAATTTTACATAACTTGAATACTTGGAAATGGTTTAGATAATTCAAAGCTCTAAATACAGCATTATACCTATCACTTATAAATTTAATCTTAATATTCATCTTTCATAAATTGCCAGACCTCAGTGTGACATGTCTTAAGAGTAATCACCCAATTTACTTGGCTCCCAACTGAGATACTAGTACCTTACCTCATTAAGCTCTCTGCAAGTTCAAGTTTTTTTTTCCTTTTGGATTTCAGCTGTGAATGCTTTATTTGCATTGGGGAAATTCTGTATCTCTGGTTTATAGTTTCTGATTCATTTAGACTCCTTAGGGAAAGTTCAGTGAAAACTGAATTTGGAATCCCAGATGTTTATATTCGGGGAGGTTACAATCCCTGCTCTGAAACTTAGAAATCAACAGGAGACACATTGCACAACCTGAAGCATCAAGCTATGGCAGTGAGTGGACCTTGGCTGGAGGCCGGGTGCCCACCAAAGCTGCTCTGTCACTGCCCTCCTCAGCTGGGCAGGGGGGAGAAAATACAATGGAAAGCTCGAAACTCGAGATAAGGACTGGGAGGGGTCACTCAGCACTTATGGTCCTGGGCAAAAGAGATCAAACTTGGGGAAATAAATGTAATTTATTACCAATCAAATCAGAGTAGGATAATGAGAGATAAAACCATACCTTAAAACACTTTCCCCCAACCACTCTTCTTCCCAGGCTCAACTTTGATGCAGATTTCTCTACCTTCTCCTTCTGAGCGGCACAGGGGTACAGAGAATGGGGGTTGTGGTCAGTCCATCACACCATGTCTCTGCTGCTCCTTCCTCCTCAGGGGGAGGACTCCTCACACTCTGCCCCTGCTCCAGCTTGGGGTCCCTCCCATGGGAGACAGTCCTCCACGAACTTCTCCAATGTGATTCCTTCACACAGGCAGCAGTTCTTCACAAACCACTCCAGCGTGGGGTCCCTCCTACAGGGTGCAGTTCTTCAGGCGCAGCCTGCTCCAGCCTGGGCCCCCTGCGGGGTCACAAGTCCTGCCAGCAAACCTGCTCCAGCCTGGGCTCCTCTCTCCACGGGGCCACAGGTTCCACCAGGAGCCTGCTCCAGCATGGGCTTCCCACAGGGTCACAGCCCCCTTTGGGCATCCACCTGCTGCAGCGTGTGATCCTTCCCGGGCTGCAGGTGGGTCTCTGCTCCTCCATGGCCCTGCCCTCTCACCATGGGCTGCACCACGGGCTGCAGGGGAATCTCTGCTCCGGCACCTGGAGCACCTCCTCCCCCTCCTTCTCCATTGACCTGGGTGCCTGCAGAGCTGTTCCTCTCACATATTCTCACTCCTCTCTGTGGCTGCAATTTCTGTTGCACAGCAATTTTTCCACTTTCTTAAACTTGTTACCCACAGGCACTACCACCATCAGTGATTGGCTTGGCCTTGGGCCAGC